TATATATATAAATAAAATCAAACAATTTTTTTATTAAAAACTGTATATTAAACTACATAATTATGGAAATGTGTCTTGCTAACTGCTTATGACAGGTTAGCAATGAATAGCAAGGCCATTATCTGATACAAAAGGCTGAAACATCCTTTGGTGTGACAGATAATGTCCATTAGTGTAAACACCTCCTTTTTATTCTTCATGAACATTTTCAGTGTTATTAAATGCAATAATTACATTTAAATATTTTCTGATGTTTTTGAGACCGAAATAATTGAGAGCGAGGACACAGAATAGAGAGAATTAACAGGGATCCACGCAGAAGGGAGGAGATACTAAGAGAAAGATGCAGAAAGTAAACAGAATCGAAATTACGCTTTAAAAAGAGCAGCCATATACTTTAAAAAAATCATTCACATCTTAATAAATAGGCTATATTTTGAATATCAATCATATTTAGCTGTGCCGTGCTGTAGGGAGGCTCTAGAAGACTTGTCAGTAACTTACTGAATGACTGAGTTACTGAGTTTTGTTGATAATTATTTTTTGTTTTGATTAAAAAACATGTTCATATTGTTTGTATCAAAATTAAAATTTCTTTCTTCTTTGACATATTCAAAGTTAAATAAAAATACTTAAATGTACTACTTCTCACTTTCTCTTTAAAGCAATAACGACCATCTCTGTCCTTTAGTGTGACGTAATGTCCTGTGGTGAGACACACATAAAAGAACCGCAGATTTGTATTTACCTCAAAATATCTTAAAGAACAGTTAAGTATTGTAGTAGGGGAAATATAATCATCACTCGTCTTAAAATGGTATAATTTTCAGCAATTTTGAAAGAATGGCAGCAAGGTTTGTCTCGTCAAAGTTTGTCTTGAAAATGTCCAATAAGTCATATGAATATTCATATTAAATAAATAACACTAGATGAAAATAAATGTCTAACAATGAAGATAAATCTCTCTCATGCTATTTGTATATTATTAAGAGGTTTTTTTATTTCTTCTTAATTTTTAGTATATCACACCATTGGACACATTTACCATTAATGTTCAGTAAAAAAATAAAAAAAAGATTTGAAAAAGTAAGTGACAGTAAAGTAAGTATATTTTCTCAAATATCAGAATTCACGTTACGTAAATATATGTATTTTTTCTTAAAAATGGTGTTTTACAAAAATGTACTGCATATTTGTCAACTACTCGTATGCATAATTATTATTTTTTTTATAATTAATTTGTAGTTGTAGTTTTTGTTAGTCATTTAATGCCATTAACTAGCACTCTGACTGACCAGTGCACCAACTAGAGAGCTAGTTGAGCAGTTGAGACGGCCCTAGAGATTTTGTTTGGATTTATTTTTCCTTTCTATTAATTATTCATTCTTTTTTTTAACATGCAGTTTCCAAACACAACAATTCCTGGTGAAGCACCTCAGATCTTTGTCACATCCTATTATAAAGATGGCGTTTATTAAAGAGGAGAGTGAAGACATGAGGATTGAAGAGACATTCAGAGTGAAAGAAGAAGATACTGGGGAAACAGGTTGGTTTCCATTCTTTAAAGGGGACATCGGATGCCCATTTTCTACAAGTTGGTATGATTCTTTAGGGTCTTCATGAAATGTCTGTAACACTTTGGTTAAAAATTCCTCAGTGGTCATGTAAAACATCATTCTTTTTACCTTGTCTAAAACAGCTCTGATCACAGCGACCAGTTTCAGTGCATGTCTCTTTAAATGCTAATGAGCTCTGCTCACCCCGCCCATCTCTTCCATGGAAGAGGAAAGGAGATTTGCAAATAATCATAAATAAATGAACGAATTCAGGTGTATTTGGTGTTGCATTACCATAAAAAAAAAACACGAATCCTCTGCTTCCTCAGTGGCTCTGATTCAATTCAAATGTATTTGTATAGCGCTTTTCACAATACACATTGTTTCAAAGCAGCTTTACAGAAAATGCATGTGTCTACATTACAAAGCAGAAGTGAATGTGCCCAAGTAATGTTCATTTCACAAATTCTGATGTCAGAAGAAAATGAAGACTCTTATGTTCACTTTTACATCCAACTACAAACCACCTGCATTGCTTTCAAGTCATTGTTTTTGCTACAGCTGCTCGAGCGCGGAGAAAATGGTGGACAGCGTATAACTGGCTGAGGGCAGAGATATGCTAATACGGGACAGTCTGTCAGCGGTCGTGGGTGGGGCTTGTGCAATATGACGTCATATTGCTTAGAAAATCAAAACAGCTTGATTATTAAGTCTGTTTAGGTTTTTTTGGGATTAAAAAATAAGTAGTGAATGGATTTTTATCATTATAGGGTGGTTGTGTCCACACACTGCTAAGACACATTTATAATAATCAAATAATTTCCATTGAACATGGATTAGGTCTATTTAACATTCAACAAGCCAACATTATAAGAGAGGCACAAGATAAAAAATAAAAAAAATACATACATGCATGCATGCATACATACTTTATTTTTATTTTGATAAGCATTTTGCTATCAAATATTTCTTATCAACAACATTACCTAATTTTTGACCTATTATAGAATATTACATATTTCTTTAATAAACACATTAGCAAATAATTCCAGTATTATTGCTTTATATATCAAGTATACATTTTGCTACTTCAGAAAACAATTGACTGCTTTTCCCCCCAAGTGCTGTCTGTATAGCTGTCAAACTATACAGGGCTCAACCATAAGGAATATTTCAATCACAAATATATACAATAGAACAAAGATACAAGTGAAATAATGCTTTTAGGTAGGTCTAACAGTAGTTTTAAGGCATAGAAATTGAATATAGTATTAATCGAGATTCAAGATTTTTGTTTGTCACATACATGGTTATATACAGAATATATGACCAGCAGTTAAATGTAAGTCAGGTCCGCTCCATGGACAGTGCAATTATTAAAGAATACAAACACAAGAAAATTATAAATAAATATAGGTATGGAAAAGGTAAGATAAAAAAATAAGAATAAAATAAAACTGTAGGTATAAAATATAGTGTAGACTTAATAAATATTAAGATGAGCAGGAATGTACAAGAGAAGAATGTGCAAACAGGTTGTACAACAGGGTAGTTACTTAGCAGCAATAGAGGTAAAAAAGTAAATAAATAAAATATTACAGAAATTGCTGAGTGCAAGTGACAATGTCAGTATATTAAGTGTCTTACTGATAA